TTTCACCTTTTTGATGGACAGTTTTATTTCCAATCATATCAAAATTCATTGGACTTTCATCCATATTTCCAATATTACTTAACGCATAGCCATGTTTAGTGCGCTGTTGTATTACATATTGATGGAAACTATCCACTTTGTTATCCAGATCTGCAGGTAATTTTTGGGCAATTTTTGTCTTTTGCCTTAGTACCAGATCATGCCTTGCCATGAATCTACTACACCAGGATATAGTGGCCTTAAAATTGTTGCTGTGATCTGGGTTAGATTTGGCCCACTGAAGTGCAAACAAGCGTATTGTATTTCGTGTCACCACATAACCGTTTTGGCGATGCTGAGCCACCATGTCTGCTACATGTTTTTTGAGTTCTGGCCAGTGTGGGGCGCCTCTTCTTAATGCACACTTACCCCTTGGCATACTCTTTAATGCTTTTTCATTTGATTTCCAGTCCCGAACCATCTTTTCTGTTACTCCATATTGTCTTGCAGCAGCACAATTATTATGTTCCATGGCAAAGTTTACAACTTTAAGTTTAAAACTTGCATCATATTTCTTTCTTTTTGCTGGTGCCATGATAGGGTTGATAGGGTTTTGACTGCTGGACATTTTCTATGCTGTACTGTACTGTACAATGGTGCAGTACTGTGGTTGGCTGTTGGCTGTATACAAAGCCTGATTGGATTGGTCCCTGCTCCCTGTCTGCCCTCCCTGTCTCCCTGTCTCCATGTCACTAGCAGCAGTCTGGTCCACCCTTGAATCCAATTATGGATAGTACCAGTATTATAGTACCGTACCATATATTAATACCAAGTGACATACTGTATATTATGACCTGATAAGAGATTTGGATAGGGAGCATTTATCAAGGTATGCATAAGAAGGGGGGCGAGGAGAGAGTTGCAAAATGTATAAAAGTGTACCCCTGTGTGCTATTATTGTTACCGGTATTATACCGGTATTACATGAGTGCCATTAGTATTAGTATTAGTGCCATTACAGTACCTGTCATTGTCACCATTGTACGGCCGTAGCACGACCGCAGCGCCTCCGGCCCGCCCCTGCATCTCCTTGTGACCGGCACTAGTGCGCAAGTGCACATGTGCGAGCTCTGAGTAGACAAGGGGCGGGCCGGAGCGCCGCTGCTTCCCGCCGAACAGAACGGGCCGGTCACGCCGAAAAGGCTGGCACCCCTGTCTCGCTGCTGATGCTCGCCGCAGCCACGCTGATGACCCACCGCAGCCGCGCTGGATACCGCGCGATACTGGATGGTATGTAGAATGAGGTGGGTGGGCATCGGGAGGCCACTATGGGCAGCTATGTCTATCCCAACTGAAGTGCACCCGGCGTATAAGACGACCCCCCCACTTGGAGGCATGTTTTTCAGGGGGAAAAAGTCGTCTTATACGCCGGCAAATACGGTACCCATTTCTCAATGTCTGTTGTCATGCCATACCAATAGAACCTTGAACACATGGCAGTTTGAGTTTTCATAATACCAGTGTGTCCTCCAATTGGTGAGGCATGAAATTCCTTAAAATGCACGGCCTCCTCCTTTGTCTTGATTACTCTTCGTCGACTTGCACCCTTGCGACTTGCATCGAAGAATAGTTTTCCATCTTTATAAAATTAATTAAAATATTATTATACTAATAGCATTGTGATCATCATAGCAATTAATTTTGAATGTTAAATACTTACCATGAATACTGAATTTAGAAGAGTATTTTCTAAGGCTCTGGTGGGTATGACGCCTTAGAAAGGTAATCGAAAATCTCCTCCCACTTTTTCTCCATGGTTGTGGATATGCACTACAAATAAACAATTTTAGTGATGAAAAGTAATTTTAAAGTTAAACATTAATTGACAAATGAACTAACTGGATACTATTGAGGGCTTGTAAAGGATCTTACTCCACTTACAAGAATAACTACAGAAAACTGCAGAATAACTACGCTTTCATAAAGTACAGCTGCCTTTTTTAAACGAACTACACTCCAACTTAAGTTATACAACAGATGCACTAACAATATGCAATTACCATTACGGAGCCCGCCTGGGTCCAGGTGAGAAATAAAATTAATCCGTGCTCACGGTTTACAAATCGTTCCCACGGTTTAGCAATCCGTGCCCTACTTGTTGTGCTAACTGATTTTCCTTTGTACTAGTTTTTACAGTACTGGGATTAGTGCTACAATTTAAAGTAAGCGTAAAGCTCTGGAATGTTAACACTGTGACTTTGACGGAGATTACATACACATGACATGTGCATGTACAGTCGTGCAGTAAATGGAAGTTTCCAGAGACAGTTTGTCTAACATGAAAACCTGGGAAGCTAACGGTAACTGTGTGGGTAAGGGTTTCTAAAACTTGCGCACGGATTGCTAAATCGTGCACAGGAATGTATTTATAAACCGTGTGAACGGATTATGAATTCATTTCTCACCTGGACCCAGGCGAGCTCCGTAATTGCTCACCTTCGATCAGTGGTATGCTAAATTTATGCAATCACGCAGAATAAAGCCTATTTCTGTTGTACGCATACGCATTTGAGTTGAACGCATGCGCATTAACCCAGGGTATGCCATTCTGGTAGGTATGTTGTTCTGCCAGAACACCTGGCGTGACAGTTTTATATACTTTTGAAAATAAATGGTTCCATTTTACTTCTTTAGTTCTTGCATCAGACAGGTTAAGAAATTTCAGCTGATTGTGTAATCACTTACTCTGTTTAAATCAATTTTTCAATCACAAATCATGGAGTAGCCTAAAACAGTGTCTACACAGCACTGTAAAATAAAATGGATTAGCAGAGCTGTAAGTCTGCATCGCGCAGGGGTTAGCTAGTTAGTGAATTTTCAAAACTCAATACGACACAGCATGTCGGGAGTGCTAATATCAGACCTAACATAAATTACCAATAACCTTGGCATATTGAAGGAGGGCGGCACATTTTCTGTCAACGGGATCAGAAGTGCCAGTGTGGCTTTAAAGTGAGGTACACACTTCGCGATTGGTTGTGGTGTTTACGCATGCTGTCAGTGTTTACATCTTGTTTTGTTGTCCTATGCACCGTATCGTATGATTGAGGTGGTGTTGTCGTCATACAATCTGCATAACCATCATAGCCAAGATTATCAGCTCCGTATCGCAGTGTGATTGGTAATGATTTTATAAGATTGCTGAAATCACACAGTGTGTACCGAGCATTACACTTTAGAAGCATGGTGAGGCACGCCGAAGGTAGGCATGTCTTCCCTGCCTTGTTTAATATGACTGTTTGCAGTTACTGTAAGCTGCACTTACCTCTAGATGTTTCCTTAGGTTGGACATGGACTGTTTAGTTGTCGACAACATCTTAACAGCCGGTGAACACGTACTGCATTGCAAAGTTAAATTTGTGCCTTTTCACGTAACATATAGGAAATGTTTTTTATACTTCCAGTAATGGAATGCATTCCTTTCCTTGTCTGCCATTGCCTGCAACAGAAACTCAGACCGCTCAGGCAAGTTAATTAGCAGAATTGGCCGCAAATGTAGACGCGACAGGATAACCAATCAGAAGCATCGAATAGTTTCAAACTTTCGGCTGTGGAGGGAAATAGGTACAAAATAGATCAGTATGTAGAGGTAAAGAGAAAGGGGGATGCAGAGGGAAATAAGGAGAAAGGTGATGATCCACTGCCCGACTGGTTAGGGGAGGTACCAGATTGCTTGTGGGCAAAAGGGAAAAATGATTTTGGCAGAGTGGTGTCAGCTGAGCCTTTGGTGGTCCACCCCAAGTCTGACTTTCGACCTCATAAGGCCCAATATCCCTTATCTAGAGAAGCAGAGGAGGGACTGAGAGAAGTACATGCAGATCTGGTGAAAAGGGGGGGGCTACTAAGGAAATAAGCTATTGTCCAGTCAATTCTCCTATCTTACCTGTGAAAAAGGCAAATGGTACTTGGAGGTTTGTACAAGATCTGAGGGGTGTCAATGCAGCCATATACCCCAGAGCTCCTAAAAAAAATTTGGAGGGGTTCACTACGTCTGGGGGCAGCACTGGTACAGTATGTGGATGATTTGCTGCTTTGCTGTCACACTCGTGAGTCCTGTAAACAGGACACCATAGCTATGTGCTACTTCCTGGTGAAAAATGGGCACAAAGCCTCCAAAGAGAAGCTGCAGCTGGTGTCACAAAGGGTAAAATACCTTGGACATGTGTTGACAAGCGAGGGAAGGTCATTAGGATCAGACCGAGTGGCATACATACAGGAGATGCCCAAATCAGAGACTAAACGGCAATTGCTTTCAGTACTAGGCATGATTGGCTATTGCAGGCCTTGGATTCAGGAGTATGCGCAGAGGTAACGGCCCTTGGTTGAGTTGACAATTGGGTTAGGGCTGACAGACAGACTGACGCAGACAGTTTAATTTAAAACAGGTGTTAATGTCAGCCCCAGCTTTAGGGGTTCCTGACTATAGAAAGCCATTTTAATCCGCCTTAGTGAAGAAGCCACCCACTTCCTCTGAATATAAAAGTTTTGGTTTCAGGTGTAACACTGGGCACAAGTCAACTACTGCACCACTTACTGTACCTGGAAATCACGTAATACTTTTATTTCATTCAGGTAAGGAAAAAAGACACAGGCTCTTTACAGGTAAGATCTATTCAACTTTACATCACTATAGAACGTATCAGAACCATCCTCTGCTTTAGCATCGTATATGATGAAAAAAGAATGATAATATCCCACATGAGAATGACTGATTTTATGATTCTTATGTGTTCTTTCCTTATTAGGGACACCAAGCATGGCTCACACCATAACAGCGGCTCTGTTGCTTTGCCTTCTTCCCTTGTTCGGATATGGGTAAGTGTTTGGTAGCAAGATGTCACCTCCATTGGATCCAAAGCTGCCCAACAGAAACAAGTTGTAAAAAGTTAAATAGGTGGTGCAATAAGTTTGTGGCTTAGAGGGTTGGACACTGTGCCCGTGATGTGACTAGTTGTATTGTAATTATCCACAGCAGGCAAAGTGATGATCCTCCTTAAAATGTCTTTGTTTAGGCCTCAGTCTCTCTTGACTGAAATCTTGAATTTCAATATTATAACAAATCCAGTTTTCTGAATAGATTCTCTTTTCGTTTGTTTGTTTTAGTGTGGAAGGGCAGCTGAGGCAGCAGAGAGAATTAAAGCTGGATACAGGTCTGAAAATGTTACATCTAAACACTGAACATGTTGGTCTCTTTCAAAACCTGAGGTTGTCAGGTTAAAAATGCTGATTGGTCTTGACTAATGAAATATTCAAACTCAAAAATGACCACTTGAAAACGAACAACACATGCAGCTGATACAGTGAGATCAGAAAAATACTGGTAGTTTGGTTGTTCTTGTTTATCACACCATGGCACTGTTGTGCAGTGAAAACCAGGAGGTACATAAAGCTAAATTAAGATAATTTTTTCTGTATATATTTACATTTCTTTGCCTCTGCAGCTTTACATTTTAAATGTGTAACGTACAACTTGGAGTGCATTAACAACACATTTGGCTTATATGTTTGTACCTAAAGATTGGCTTAGCAATGCTCAATTTCTAGTTATTGACTAACTTACAGGATTAACAACGCTAGTGACTTGGGACTTATCTAAGCAAAATGCTTAATCATTAGCAAAAGAAAATTCTACTAATAGATGTGGTTTTGGTTCCTTACAAATTTTCTTTGTAAAAATAGGGTATACTCAGCTAAATCAGAAAATGAATTAATCTTGATTTACAGTCTTTGGCACATTTGTGTTCCACATTAATAGGTGTTTTTGTGTGTTTTTGCTCCTCACTGACAGGCTTTTGCCAGGGCCCCTGTCCAGCTGACTGGGTCAGTTTCAAAAACCGCTGTTTCCAGTACATTGCCGATGGGAAGACTTGGATTGACTCTGAGGTAACGTTACAAAAGGCCAATGAATAATGAACACCTGAATATCTTCAAGTACTTAAAACTATCCTTCCAAATGACAAGAAACCTAAATATATTTGAACTTCCCAGACAAGAGGCATGTAAGAAAATGTAACATTTCCAGTTAGCCCAAAATGGTTTTCTTACAAAAATGGACTTTGACAGACAGTTACTTTGGGAAACCATTCCTTTTCAGTTACACTGCCTGTCCAGTGGGGGAAACCTGGCCTCTATGCACAGCGAAGAGGAATTCCAGTTTATCAAGGCCCTGATCAAAAGCAGAGATTCTGCAGAAAATCCCTGTCACTAGCCTCGCAATAACTGCCACCTGCAGTAGCCTACTACAGGTACTACAGCTACTACAGGTACTACAGGTACTGTAGGTGCCAGTTGTCGCGAGGTTAGTGTGTGAGGTCAGATGATGAGTTGATGAGTGACGACGCGGGAAAAAAAAGAAGAAAAATCAGACAGATGATGGACGCCAGGACAGAGAAGGAAGGCACTCCTTCCAAAACAGTCTTAAAGAATGCAAAGTCTGCAACAAATGAGTACAATAAGTCACTAAAAGAGTAAAGAAAAGTTATGTGAAATGAAAAGAAAAACTGTACAAAAAAGCAATATGAAATGAATGAGTGTGTGAATGTGAAAAGAATGTGGAATGAAAATGAAATGTAAAGTCAAGCAATGTTAAATGAACAGAAAATATGCAAATAAGCCTTTAAATAAATGCTCTTCAAATATACCCTTTTGCGTTTTCATTTAGGCTATGAATGTTCACAGCATGTCAATATCAACAAAGGTAGGCCTATCATTGGCTTTATGCACAGCTGCACTACTTCCTGAACTTCAGGCAGCTCCTTTGTTTCCTGTCTGCCATTATTGGACAAACTGATCACCTGGATTAATCAGTTTGTCCAGTAATGGCAGACAGGAAACAAAGGAGCTGCCTGAAGTTCAGGAAGTAGTGCAGCTGTGCATAAAGCCAATTGTAGTTTATAAGTGGTTGACAAGTGGTGATTAGCTTTCTTGTCACCTGTCTTAAAATGTAAGAGATACTGGAGCTTGGTTGGGGTGGTGGGGTGGCTCGCGGCGGGCGCCGGAAAATTTCCCTTATTTTCAAATCCAAAACTTGACAGGTATGTAAATCTGGTTTTCATTGTTTATAAAAACTTCATGTTGTTAGCATGCATGTTCTGGTAATACTTCTAGATAAAATAAATATTCTCTTACAGGTAAATTGGCAGAATTCTTATGTTAGCTCTTTAAACATAGTGTTGCCTCCCCTTAGTAACACAGGAAGCATTCAGAACAATTCAGGAGCCCAGATGTGACTCTTTTGGTTTTGTTATACCTACAGGGGAAAAAGACTGGAACGACATGCCCTGTGACTTCTCCTCTGCCTTTGTATGCGCTCGGCACTCTGGCGTGTGACACGTGGCATGAAGCCGTGGTCAAAATCAGCAGCATTTTGATGTGACTCCCTTTCCTCTTCTGCGTTCAAGGCACTATGGGACCCTTTCAGCTTATATCAACTTGTAATGCATTAAAAATGTCACCTCTTATAATTTCAGTTCTTGTTTAAAATACTGTATTAAACTATATTCATCTGCATCAAATGTATGTTTTCTATTTGATATTTGGCAGATACTTTTACTCAGATCATTAAAACATTCATACAAGTGTTCATAGATCAACTAAAAACAGAACATTATTTCAAAAAGTACTGTATGACAGTTACTTAAAAATTTACACACTGAGCAGAACATTATTGTCATGTCAGAACTCAGTAAAGGAGAGATGATGGACTTCATTACAGAACAAAACACACACTTACTCAGAAACAAAAGGACCACAAGGGCTCAAAACAAGAGGCAGGGAGGGTAAACCAGGAGGGACAAGGGCTGACATAAACACAGGGAAGGGCTTGGGTAAAACAGTAACAAAGGACATCAACACCAGTAAAGCACAATGACAATTACCCTCCAAAATTATACTGCCAGAGACCATTTTTGATAATCCCCCCAACAAACACACAACACTAACAATAACTGTCGGGATAACAGGGCACAAAGAGGTGTGTGTGTGTGTGTTATTAAAAACAAAGCTTGTGAAAACTGTGTCTGCTGACTACAGAGTGGAGAGAGTCACAGGCTGCCTCCGCGTTGGCTGAGGGGGGGGGACATACGCTGTTATCGCGATAATATGCGAGAATTCCCTGGGGAGATACAGTCTTATGCAAAAGTTTGGCCACTCCTCGATAAATAACATATTTTGGTAGAGATGGCAGTTTCGGCACCCAGGATCGATCCGTTCTGAAGACATCTGAAACTTCTGGTCTCGATATGGAGTTTACGAAATGTTTCGAAACATCAGTCATGTGACCACCGTGTCATTGTTCATGGCAAGAGAAAAACCCCGGAAAAAAATCGGGGCTTGTTGGGTGTTTGTGGCGTTGTTGGTTTGAACGAGTAGTTTGGCGATTATTATTTGAAATCCAGTTGTATCAGTGAAACAGGTTAGCAGTTAGTGTGATTTAGGCATAAATATAGTGAGGGACATATAGTAGGTGTAATATCAAGGTTTTGCTTACATTCAGTTGGAAACATAAATCAAAAAGCTAGAGTATGCATAGGCATAGATTACAAATACATATATTAACATAGCTAACATAGACAAAGACTGTTATCTAAAACTGCGTTTTTGCACTGTTCTATTCTATACAAATTTAATTAAAACTAAACCATCCCTATAACCTGCTCAACACACACAAATCTAGATAGGATGAGTATTCTAACATCAGTAGCTAATTAATTACTATGCACACTCAATACTCAGATGGTATGCAAATACAGAAATTATGTTTTAACAATACACAACCATGGGAACAAATAATCCCTATAAATGACCCAATTTAGGTTTTGATTGACTGGGGGAAATTCTGGTGCATACAAATAATCAATACATTATTGATCTCTGTAGGGAAATTGTGTTTACACCTCCCTGAACTTGCTCTTTGTAGAGTAAGCTGTCTGCGAAGGGCTGGCACCTGTAGCAGCTCCCAGGGTGCTGGGGGTTAAGGGCCTGGCTCAAGGACCGGCAGAGGCTGGGTTTGAACCGGCGCCCTCCTGATTACAGGCACAAAGGCTTAGCCCATTGAACCACACACTGCCCCTAACATGCAAATAATACCAAACAGACAAGGTACAAATACTGTACGCATGGTGCAAGCAAAGTAAACTTACTGCAGCAGATTTAAAAAGTACATAGTGCACAAATGGATGTAAAATCTTGAGGAGCAGAATGTGAGACTAAATGTGAATATTTAAATAAATTACATGCAGTTAGAACACAAGGCACCGGATTGTATTATAACAAGAGAGGATGCTTCCTGACGAATTATGGCTATGGATGGAGAGTGTAATGTCTGGAGAAAGTGTGATGTCGGTCAGTTGTCTGACGGCTTCGGGATGCGATAATCCCCAGTAGCATCTTTAGCACAGCATGGTGGAATGAGCCGGTGGCTAAATATGCTCCATTATAGAGGCCATGGAAGTGGACGTGCAGACTTGTAGGCCTACATAATATTGCTAACATCCTCTTCTCTGCTTCTGAGTGCGAGAGGTTTCGCGACCAGACCATACACAAGTGACATTAATAATCGAGCGTTTTTATGATTCGTACGAGTTGAATTGTAATTGGCAAAACGTGATCACACGCTAATTGCAGATATAGGATGCCTATGACAGAATATAAAAATATTCAAAAAGAAATTACATTGTATTATATGGTGGCCGAGAAGGGCAAATCAAATTAGCATTGCATAAAACATATTTACATTTCATTAAACTATTCAAAAATTAATTAAAATTCATACGTAAAGCAATCTGGGAAACAACCCTTACGAAAATTAACCATGGTTTTACTATGATTAAATAACCATGGTTTACAATGGTTTGCCGTTTTTTATGTTTTTTTGGGTAACTATGGAAACCATGACTATGGTTTTATCATGGTTTCGCTACAGTTAAACCCTAGTATAATCTTGGTCATAAACCATGGTTTTTGTTTTACCATGGTCTTTCCAAACCATGGTAGTACTATGGGTAGTACCAAAGTACCATGAGGTACCATAGTAAAACTATGGTCACTGCATAAAAACCATAGGAAACCATGGTGAATTTTCATAAGGGAAAGGGATGTGCAGCAATCGCTTTGAGCCCAAAATGCTAAACCATCATGTCATTACAGCTGAAAGGACCTATTATATTAGCTATTAACACGATTTTGCACAAATCACGAAATGGTTTGAAACGCAAAAAAAAATCGGTGTGCATCGTTGTCTGTGTACTGGACATTCTGACAATTCTGTCATTGCAAACGCCCCACCTTACTTCCGTTAAAAGTTATTACAGTTTTTTTTAATTGGTTTTCCGCAGTTTTCACAAGCAATTTGTACATTTTCAAAACTCTTAGTACTTATATCACAACAGATCATCAAAAGTGCACTTTTTTCAAACATTTCAGCATATTTTCAATTGTGTTAGTACAATACACATAATCACAAAATATCCTTTTCACTACACAAAATAAGTGTTTCATCTAAATAAATGTTTCGTTCACAGTAACCGCCTTTCATAATGTTATCACTATCAAATTTTTGATTTGCCTCTATTATTCAGTTTAATACATTTGTCTTTCAATACATTTACACTGTCATTTAATTCAACTGATCTTAATGTTTAATCAATGAATCATTCATTATGTACATGGATTTTCAACTTGACTGATTGTTGTCTGGTCATTTGTAAGTTACAAATTGCTGCAAGAGCTTTCAATCAAGAAATACTAATTACTAATTGTTTCCCCTGATGATCACAATTAGTTACCATATAAGTAGAACTGTGTTTGAGACTTTGCACTCTTCAAATATGGAGCAGGATAGACTCATAGGAAGAGGAAACCTTCATCGAAGAGGTGGTGGTGCTCCTCGACAGAGAGGTGGGCACAGGCAAAGGGAAAGAGGTGGTGGTGCTCCTCGACAGAGAGGTGGGCACAGGCAAAGGGAAAGAG